AGCCTCTGCAGGCAGACAAGGGCTTTGCAGCTGCGTGTTGAGAGCACCTGTTGCCTCTAAGACCTGTCCCAACATGCCTGGCCACGCACTTTGGAATTTGTTTTAGCTTTGAGTGTTTTTAAAAACACAGTTAATACATGTTCATTATAAAAAACCTGCAAAATACTTATAGAATTATAATAAGCATGTGTGTAGGTATATCTCGCCCATAAATCCTTCACCCACAGTTAAGTACTGATAACACTGTGTACATCCCTCCAGATTTTTTAGGGTTTCTTTACATGTTTAGGTCTTGCTTCATTTCACATGCAATAATGAAATAAACTCTCATGTACCTGTTACTGAGATTAGGTACCCTTGAAGCTTCCCAAGTGCATTTCTTTTCCTTTCCGCTCCAAAAGGAAATTTTACATTAGTCAGCTCATTTTTCTTTGCAGTTTGCCCATACACATATGTAACTTTCAACCTAAATATAACTGAATCTTGTTCTGCTCTTTTGTGACTTCCCTTTTCTCTCCAATGTTGTTTGTGCAATTCAATCTCACTCAAATGTGTAAGTAATTAATTTTTACTTACTTATGCTCTCATGTAGCATTTCATGTTATAAAAATACTGGAACTTATGTTCCCATTTTATTACTGATGGGCATGTAGGTAGCTTTCTCTTCTCTGTTATTACTGCAACACTACTGTGGAACGTCACCCATCTGCTCTGTTTTGCGCGCACAGCAGCTTCTCCAGGGGACGGGTTCTGGAGCGAGATGCTGACTTCAGAGGGTTTGTGCATTGGTATCACTAAGCAACGCCAAACTGTTTCCAAAATGGTCGTATCCTCAGCTGTAGGAGAGTTCCTTTTTCTCCACATTCTGAACACCAGTATTGTCAGACTTTCTCATTTTATCCAATTTGTGGGCAAAAAAAACAGTATATTGCATTTTTAATTTACATTTCCTGACTATTGTGATTTAAAAATTTCCATGTTTACTGGCCATATTATTCCTATGCTGCAAAATGTCCATTCATGTTGTCTGCTAGTTTTTTTATTATTTTTATTGACTTATGGAATTTCTTTATATATTCTATTTCTATGAGTATCTAACGATACATCTATCTACCTAAAATCACACTTTCAAATATGACTTTTTAAACAAGAATAATAAACTACACTGCATAAAGCTTTATGGTTGTATGAACTGGTCTAGTTATAAAGCTCTTACAAAGGTACAAATGTCTTCATTCCTTTTACTCTGATATGCTAAGAGACAGAACTAGACCCCGTATTAGACAAATCATGATTTATCAGATGGAAAAAAGTAGTGGAAAAAAACCCTCCACTATTGTTATTACTCACTTTACTATTTGAGAGACTAGAATAATGATTTTTTGTTTCTAAATAATTTTTTCAACATGAAACTTCAGAGAGAAAAAGTTGAAACAACCACCCCTCCGTAATCACTTTCATTGTGTTTCTCAGAGTCACATTCTCTCCAGGGCCTGTTCTCCCCTACTTTGGCCTGGGGGAACTGAGAAAAATAAAGATATGCCTGTGACTAGATACAGTGTGGGTGGTCCTGAAATTCACCCAGCAATCTTCCAACTAAACGCTCCCAAACCGCAGGGCAGAAGGGGGCTTTCCCTGCGTGGTCAATATCCTTTCAACAGAGCGCCTACATGCAAAGCACTGGGTGTCAGACCTCTGGACAGTATGAGAAAGATTACTGTGTCCTGCAACCTGCCCTCCGGGCCTTACAATGGAGTTGGGAAGACAAATATGTGAAAGCATCAAAGATTTGAGCAACGACGTGGGAAAGCAGTGGAAGGCTGTCACGATTTTAATTGTTGGATTAAAATGGATGATAAAGGCTCAGAGGAAGAAGACTGTGTACTTGGTGACGCCTCAAGTCAAGTCTGTTGGCTCTGCTTTTCCCTTTCTTCCAACCTCACCAGCATCAGTAGGCCACATGCAGAGTGGCCAGGGTCAGTTTCTCCCCCTCCCAACCCCGCCCCCAGCCCCATGGTGGTGGTCTCCCAGGAGCCGGGCCATTCCACAGGGCCCTCTCCAGCTCTCGGAGTTGGAAGTCCAGTGGAGAGTCCCTCCACTATTCTCAGAAACTTTCACTTTCACGTCAGTCCTGGTTCGGCACTCACAAGATTTAGGGGAAACTGGAAGCTCAGACCACCACAAAAAAAACTTCTGGGGCCCCTTCTGGGCCACATAATGGGTCAGTTTCTTGCTATTTTCCTAAGTAAGTGCTGAACCTGCTTATTCTGTACGCTACTACCCATCTCCCTGAAGTTCTAACTTACTAAGAGCCTCTTGAAAATTAACCTGGACAGTGAATCACGAAGTAATATTTGGGTTCCAGTCTCAAGTGACCTTAAAGCCACAACTTTTTCATGATCATCTGCTCCAGTGGTTTTCATCTAGGGAAAATGTCTCTCCCCAGATGACTGGTAATGTCTGGAGACATTTTTGGTTGTCACAACTGGTGGCAGTAGGGGGGTAGTATTATCTGGTGCATAAAGGCAGATGCTGCTGCTAACACACTATGATGCACAGGTCAGCCCCCATCACTAAGAACCATACAGCTTAAGACATCCATAGCACCCAGATTGAGAAACCCTTATCTTCTCCTCACTAGCCCAGGCCGGAAAAACCAAAGGTCATTGGCTTCCCCGACATGACTCCCAGTTCCACACGTCATCTTAATAGAGGTGAGCTTCTTTGACATAAGAAGCCAGTTCACATCTAGACACAGGGGTCTGGAGAGGGGACTGGATGTCCTATGGCTGAGTCGGGGACACTCTTGCCTTGGAGGATTCAGTCTATAATCTGAATTCTCATCAATGTGATGCTCACGAAAGGTATTCTGGCTACCGTCCAATCTCTCTGGATGACAAATTTATAAATGGCAAGGACAATGACAAGGCCTCCTCTGTATTTCACGGTGTAATTATTTTTAAAGATTATATTTATTTTTTAAAAGAGGGGAAGGGAGGGGGAAAGAGAGGGAGAGGAACATGGATGTGAGAGAGAAACATTGATCCGAAACACCCCAACAAGAACCGAACTCACAACCCAAACCCGTGCCCTGACCAGGAATCAAACTGAGATCTTTCGCTTGTATCCAACCAACTGAGCCACACAGGTCAGGGCTGTAATTATTTTTTACTAAATAGTGTTAAATAATATCATCTACTGGTAATTAGTCACCAAATACATATTGTGGGTCCACGAACACCAGGCACCGTGCTCTGTTCTAGATGAGTGGTCACTCCAAGTCCACCAACGTGGACCACAGACCCCGCAGCGAGACATCTTCGCCCCGTGGGATGGAGGGGCAAGAGCTCCTTACAACTCGGAGGCCTGGGACTCCCTCCGGAGATTCCAGTTTCACAAGTCGGAATTGTGCCCAGGAGCCTGCCTTTTGAGCCAGTGTTTTAGGTGACTGTGATACAGACTGTCGGTGGGACCAGGACTTAAGGATCCTTGGTAGAAAGCATCACATCTGCCCAACCTAATCTCCGATCTGAGAATTTGCAGACTTGAGCACTAATGTGGTAATTTCCTATATCCCTGAAAAAAATCTTTTAACCCTTTAATCCTTTCATCAATTAATCATGTAATCATTAATGTTCTTACATTTCCTACGTTGAAACAGCAGGCAAGTAAGACCTGTCCGATACAGATGGAGAGAAGGTAAATGACCCAGTGTAAACAGAAGCAGGACACTTTCAAAGGAACAGAACAATAGAAGTTTTACTTCTGAAAACAAATGTTTATGACCTATAATAGAATGTAAATTAGCCGAATACATTGGTGTCAACAGTAACTAGAAGAAGAATCTCTTGCTTATGTGAAAGAAATGCATACTATCTGCTCTCTAAAGCAACCTCAGCATGCCATGATTTTAGCTTCAATAGGACTGCTAATCCTTTCTGGTTACTGAGATAAACGGTTTCTCTGACTACCCTCAATCTTCTTTCAAATCCTTCCTCACACCTACATACTGATATTCCATTATGTGACTTTACAATGGATCATTTATTCTAGCAGCACAATAAGCACCATTAGAAGCCCAAGTCTAAACCTTGCTCTAAGCAAACCTTTTCCAAGCCATTAGAAACACCTAACCCTTGTCTAATATCAAGGAAGTTACCTCACCATATGGGCAGAAGTATAAAACACGGGGAATCACTTTTGGCCCCATTGCTCTACCCTAAATTGCTGTGAACAGTTTAATAGTACAAGAAACCTATATAAAGAAACTCATAACAGTTATAAAAGAGATTAAATTCAATGTGTCACTAATATCATTAATGAGAAGAGGTATGGATTAAAGGCCAGAGAATTCAGAAAACAGGCCAGCATCCCTTAAGATAATTATCTAAAATGCATTGCTTTTTCTCCAGTCCTCTAAGAATTCCCTTCCATCCTGTCTCTCTAACTAAAATTGTCTTTATTGTGCCTTCAAATGTCTCCATATCCATGTCTTGTCTGCACTGCCTACTTTTGCTGCAAATACCAACCCCACTTCAGCCCCAAGTTGGTAGACAGGGCCTGGAGACCCAAGGGGCTCACAAAACAGGCTACGTTGAGTATAATCCCAGATCAAGCACTGCAAAGGACTACTCTCTTTGCTCCTATCAAAACCCACTCACAATATAAATGAGCATCCAAACAGGAGGGAAACGATCCTTCCATGATAGAGAAAAACTCACGGTTTCGTGTGTAATAACCGTAGCATTAACCCATCCACAGTAACTCAGATCCCACACTCCAGGGAGAACCACTCCATCACCACCTCCAAACAAAACAGAAGCCCCTCCCAGCATCTGGGAACTTTGAGCCTACCTATCAACTTGAATGCAAATTTTCCCTCAAACCCAGGTTTGCCGAGATCCGTTTTTAGGTAAACTATGTGCCCTTCAGACCAGCATGCAAATGGAGGGTGCTCAAGTAGAAGAACCACAAAGGCAACAAAGAGACGTCGACCATACCTATTTTCCCAGCCTCTCCTTTCAGGTTGAAGTCCCAGTTTCTTGGCAACTTCAGGGACATTTTGCTTCTGGTTCTGGTGAGTAGCTGCTGAAGTGACGAGTCTGCCTCAGTTCGCGCCCTTCTTGCCTTTCTGAGCTTTCCCTCTGGCTTGTGTGGGGGGGGGTTTCCGTGTGTGATGGCTTCACAGGCAATCTTGGCTTTGAGGCTGATTCGCCAGTGTGTGTCCTCCTTTTTCTCATATGAAAGCCCCAATCATCTGTGACTTGGGGATTGCACCCAAACCCCCACCAAACCCCACCCACAGTCCCTAGGGGCTGGTCCCTCCTGAAGTATGCACCCTGCTCCTCTTGCTTTCAGTTTTACCAGAAATATCCCAGTTGACACTTCGCTCTGCGTCATGGGAAGCAAAGCTCCCGTTTGAAAGAATCTCAGGCCTCACTGAAGAGAGGTCGTGATAAACAACGGCTGCCTCTCGGCTTTTTTTTTTTTTTTTTTAACTGTCTGCTTCCTTGCATTTGAGGAAGTGGTGGCTGTTCAGGGTAGATGATACATTATGAGCACTCTTTGTTAAGAAAATGTTTTTCGGAAATGCTTGCATAAGTACAACAAGTGCTCTTATAATATAAGGCTATATAGCTTTGATTAACAGAAAAAGAAAATTCCGAGACACTTTCCATGTACCTGTAAGCCCTGTTCCACACCGAATGGATCAAGCCTCCAAAAAGGGTCAAACAATCAGCTTTCTCCCAAAGTTACCTTTCTTCAAATGTTTCCTGCTCTAAGGATCACATGGTAAGTTCTCCACCTGTTCGGGATGAAGGTTCCATGCGACCTCAGCCTGATGCAGGGAGGGTTCTGACAAATTTAGCTAATAAGTTAGCTTTATGTGGGGAGCCCCTCTCACATGTTATAATGGTTCTTTGGCATTGGGTACAAGGTGTGGGTTTGAGAATCAGACCACATGGGATCAAAACTCAGTTCTTCCACTTCCTAGCTCTGCGGCTTTTAATCAGCAACTGGATCTCTCTGGGCTTCACTGTCTTCAGCATTAAAATGGGGTCGACGAGAACCAGGACTGCGCGGAGCTGTGCAGGCATCTGGTACAGAGCTCAACAGACAGTGGTTGCACCACAAAGGTTAAGTCAGCCCGTATTCTACCTAGTTCAGTTCCATGACAGGCTTTCACATGTTTAACTGAGTCTTCCTAAGCTAGTGATTAAGTATTTGGTCCCAGAGCCAGACGGCCTGTGTTCAAAACTTGACTATCCCACTTTCTTACTGTGTGCTTTTGGACAAATTTCTTCACCACTGTGTGCTTCAATTTCCTGACCTGCAAATGAGGCAAATAATAGGGCTTACTTCATAGGGTGGGCCTGAAGCTTTATTAGACAGTAGGTGAAAGAGTCACTGCTGGCCAGCACGTAAGCTACACATCCTTAGTCCTTTCATTCTTGGAGCCTCCTGGACAACTCTATCACACCTTCTTCACTTCCCAAGTGCTCACCCTTTGTTGATGACCTGGCTTCAGGTTTTATTGAGAAAGTTGTGGCAACTGGAAGAGAACGTCCGCAGGCTTGCCCCTTGTGCCTCCTCGAGTGTCGGCCTGCACACTCGCCTTGCTCCTCATGACAGTGGGTGCACCAGCTGCCATCACCCCCATGTCGTCAATGTCTTCTCTGTCCTGGGTCATTCCAGTCAGCACTCAGACTTATTATTTTCCCCCCATTATTTAAGAGCAAACAAGCAAATAAACAAAAAACCTCTCTTGATGCCACTTCCATCTGGGGTGACAGCACCATATCTCGCCTTCATTTTTGAGCAAAGCTTTGGTAAGAATTGTCTACACTTGCAAATGTCTCTGCTATTATTTTCTCCTGAATCCCCTCTGTTGAGGCTTTTGCCCCCATGACTGCACAGAATATGTTTTTATCAAGGACATCGATGATATCCCTGTCGCTAAGCCTCATTGGTCAATTCTCCAGCCCTCCCTCCTCTTGGCTCCCAGGACCCCTCCCTGGCCTGTGGTCTGCCTGCCTTTCTGGCTGCTCCATCTCTAATTCTTTGCTGTTTCCCTCTCATCTCTCTGACCTCTAAATATTGCAGGAAACCAAGACTCCCTCAGTGGACTTTTATTTCATCCACACCCACACCATGGTGAGTCTATCTGTCTCAAAGCTTTAAATGTCACATAGCTGATGACTCCAATGTAGATTTCTAGCCCAGAACCCCCTATACTCCTAAGGATACACATCTCTGCTTAGATATCTAAGTCATCTCAAACTAAACATATCCACAACTTGTATTCAGGGGACCAGGCTGAAGAAACAGTGGTAACCTGAGGATTATTCTTCTCATTGTGAGTGAAAAGAGCATAAAAGAGAAGCACCACACAAGTATATTTAAAGCCTCTGATCACATCATGTCTGCTTACATTCCAGTGGCTAACACACATCATATGGTCAATTCCAAAATCAGTGAGTCAGGAAGTACACACAGCCCTGAAGGGGCAGAATAAAGGAGAAGGCAGTGAATATTTGCTGATCAAGACTCCAATCCATCACACCAACCCAGGTTACTGAGCTACCCTCCAACCTTCCTGGGGGTGCTGGGTTACTCTAAACCAGAGACTTGGAGGCCCCGACTCCGCATTAGTGCAGGCCAGGCACAAACACCACTGTCCTTTCTTCTGTCCTGACTTGGGTTGGTGGCAATAGATTGCTATAGTGAGCCCCAGCCCAGCAACATCTTCACCATCCAAAGTTTCAATCCTGGGACCTTTCACTTAGGAACTCTGAAAATATCTTGAAGATAGCATTTAGAAAAATACAGAAACTTCCTTTACTCTCCGGGGTTGGTTCCTATAAGGCTTGGAAAAACTCATGACTGATGGGGAAGTTGGTTGTGAATACTTGGAAAGGCAATCAGAGGAAAAGCACCCCTGGAAAGGCCTAACCCAGCAGCCTTCCCTCCAAGCGCACTGTGGGTCAGCCAGCTGCCTGGTTAGGGCTGGAGAGTAGCTCTCCACTGCAGTGCTACTCCCCTCTTCCTGACCTTCCGAAAATGAAGAACTAGATGTCTTGTCTGATCTCAAAGTTTGAATCAGCACCTACAATAGCAAAAGCAAAAATCCATTCATCTATTTGCTTATCAAATTCTAACCATCAAATTTGCTGGACGTGGGAGAAATGTTCACGAACAAACAATCTGGTTTCTGCTCCCATTCAACTTACAGTCTCTGTTGAGAGGGAAGACAATGAAATACAGCATGAGAAGGGTTATGTTGGGGGAAGTGTAGGGACCTATGGAAGTTTATATCAGAGGGGCCTTATTGGGACTTGGAGGGTGAGGAGAAAGCTTCCTAGAGGAAATGTCTGTTAAATTAAGACTTAATGAATGAGTTGTGGGGGCAGATGGGTTGGAAAAGGACTTCCAGACAAAGCAAATAGCATGCAAGAGGCAGAAAAGGACTTATCAGGTTGCTCATGAAAAGATGAAAGGGGTGGGATGGAGGAGAGATGAAGCTAGAGAGACAGATGGCTGGACGGAGGCAGGCTCTCTAGCAAGCCTTGGCAACGAGTTTTGACTTTACCCTGGAGGAAATCGAAGCCATCAAGGAGCTTTTATTGGAGTCAGGATGATGAGACTGCAGCAGATTTCCAGGTGTGGGTGAGTGTCAGGGAGGGAGGTCAGCATCAATGTGAAGGGAAAGAAGGCAAAACAACTCAAGAGCCATTCCAGTGATGGGATTGAGAGCCCCAGTGAATTTCTATGGGAGGAAAAAGAGATGCCCACAGTCCGGCACCAGTCCCGGAGGGCTGAAGGCTCCAGTCACAGAGGTGGGGAGTGCACAGGTAGAGGGATGCTAATGAGAAGCGGGGAGGGTTGCTGAGGTTCCCCAGAGAGAAGATGCCACGCTTAGTCTGGGGAATGTTGTGTTTAGAGACCTAAGGGGCACTTGAGTACAGATGTTCCACAGGTATGTGAGCCTAGAGCTCAGTAGAGGGACTCATTTATTCATTCACTCATTCACTCCATAAACATTTATCCAGTACTTCACTGGATGTTGAGTAAACAAGGATGATTAAGAACCTAATCCTCAAATGACTCATAACAGAGAAGCGTAAACATAACAGCAGTGGTGTTCAAGGTACAAAGAGTGCATGCATAGTGTAGAGTGAGAGCAGGAAACGGTGAGTTCTGCTTGGGTGGCCGGGGATGGCTTCCTGGGAAAGGTGGCTCAGGAGAGAGCAGTCAGGCAGGCAGGAAGCAAGGTGGAAGTGTGGGAAAAGGATGTTCTGGGCAGATGTCCTGCACAGAGCTGCTAAAATAATGAATCTGGGTAGGGAAGTACCAGGAATGATGTGTGGCTACAGGGTAAGCCTGGAGGAGGGGGTGGCAGAGAATACAGTGTAGAATGATTATCAAGACCAAGATAATTGATGTATTTATCACCTCACATATTAAGTTACCCTTTTCTTGTGTGTGCAAGAAAATGCTTTAACTCTACTTGAGTCTTGGCAACTACATAAGTACACAGTACCATGTTATTAAATGTAGTCACCATGCTATGCATTAGATCTTATGTGTATGTATTTTAAAATAAATAAAATATAGTGTGTGTTAAGCTTTCAGCTGTAATGATTTGTTGACAAAAAACAGATCTGTCATGAAGCATTTTCTGAAACATCATAATTAATAACTTTATTGTTTTTAATTTGATGGTGAGAGCCAAATATATTCATCAAATCCCTGTGTCATTGAGCATTTGAGATGCCTATAAATTTTCACAATATTCTAGATCAACTCATTCTTCCCCTTCCCACCCTCAGGTGAATTTTTAGAGGCAGAAATGTGGTAAAGTGGATCAAGAAAACATTAAGACCTGAAACATATTTCTAAACTATCCTCTGGAAGGTTCTACCAGTTTATGTCCCATCAGGGTCCTGATTCCCACATGGCCTCATTAACAGTTGGCATTGCTTTTTAAAAAAAATCATTGCCAATTATTCAAGCAAACAATTTTTTTATGAAATAGTGAAACTGAAGTTATTTTTTAATATGTTTACTGGACATTTGTAGGGGTCA